TCAAGCACGCATCAGTAGCCTGTGGTACGGTAAACGAAGTACACGTGTCGTGATTTTCACTGAAAACTCTCAGAAATCTTCTTGAGAAAATTTTCGTGAAAGGAAATCAGCTTTTTTTTTTGCGATTCTTTTTGGTAGTTGTTTTTTTCTTTTGCAGAGAAAGATGAGAAATTGTAGTTTTTGTATGTTAGAGGAGTGATATTTATAGGTGAATCGTTGTTATTGTTAATGTGAGTTGATGTTTGATTTGGAATTTTGAAGAATGACGAGATTAAGGATGAATTATTGGATGGTTACGGTGATTGGTTTAACGATGGTAATGGTGGTACTGGTGGAGTGTGCGGGAAACAATGGTACCTGGGACAAGGTACGGGAGAAGAAGGCGCGGATAGTGAAGAAACTGAAGAAGGACTTGAGGAAGCTGAAGAAAGAGGAGGGCGCGGTGAAGCTTGTGGGCGGTGAGAACGGAGCGCACGAAGGTGAAGTGTAATATTTTAAATGTTTGCAAATTTTTGTGTCGGAGGATTTGAAATTTTGAGAATTTTTAAGTTTACAAATTTAGAAATTCGGAAATTTGAAAGTTTGAAAATTTGCAAATTTGGAAGTTTGAAAGTTTGAAAATTCGAAAGATTGAAAATTTCAAAGATTGAAGATTCCAAAGATTGAAAATTCGAAAGATAGAAAATTCGAAAGATTGAAAATTCAAAAGATTGAAAATTTCAGACTGAAAATTTCAAAGATTGAAGATTCCAAAGATTGAAAATTCAAAAGATAGAAAATTCGAAAGATAGAAAATTCGAAAGATTGAAAATTCAAAAGATTGAAAATTTCAGACTGAAAATTTCAAAGATTGAAGATTCCAAAGATTGAAAATTCAAAAGATAGAAAATTCGAAAGATAGAAAATTCGAAAGATTGAAAATTCAAAAGATTGAAAATTTCAGACTGAAAATTTCAAAGATTGAAGATTCCAAAGATTGAAAATTCAAAAGATAGAAAATTCGAAAGATAGAAAATTCGAAAGATTGAAAATTCAAAAGATTGAAAATTTCAGACTGAAAATTTCAAAGATTGAAGATTCCAAAGATTGAAAATTCAAAAGATAGAAAATTCGAAAGATAGAAAATTCGAAAGATTGAAAATTCAAAAGATTGAAAATTTCAGACTGAAAATTTCAAAGATTGAAGATTCCAAAGATTGAAAATTCAAAAGATAGAAAATTCGAAAGATAGAAAATTCGAAAGATTGAAAATTCGAAGATTTGAAAGTTTGAAACATTGGAAACGTTAACTTTGAAAATTTGAAACTTTGAAAATTCAAAATATTGAAAATTCCAAAGTTCGAAAGCTTAAAACTTTGAAAATGAAAATACTCGAACATCAGCAAACTCGAAAACTACAAAAAATTCCTATTCAAACGAGTGGACGCTTGCTATAAGTCATCTACATACGTATCACGATTAAAATAAAAGCTTGCTCGCTTACCAGCGAACGAATTGACATAAATGCTCCGCGTAAAAACGAGTTCTTACGTGAAACGTCGCGGTTTTATCAAGCGAGTTCCTCGTGTCTGTGTTGTGCAATGACGATTAAAAAGGGGTCAACTCGAGGATGATTTATGTCAACGACTGTGTCATCGTAGTAAACGTCACGTAGGCACAGTACCGCGAGCCACGAGATGGGATGGCCACCGTCAAATTGGACCATAAAACAGGATAGAATCCGTTCCCAGACGTTCGCATGTCAATTTTTATTGCCCTCCATTCGATATTACAGTCCGGTCCACCCTTTCTTCCTCTTGTTTCCTCCATTTCACTAGCATGTCCGATATTCTTTCTCCATTTCATGGGAAAACCCATTAATCTTTCTTCTTAATTCACATTTCTTTACTGAAACAACTCGCATAAACGTTTCGAGTCACTTTTTTTCTTTTTTTTATTTACAATCAAACTTTTACCAACTTTTCCTTCGGAAACTCTTTCAATTTTCACGTTAACTACCTAACTTTGCAATTACTAGAAAACTACTGAATCACAAAAATTATCGAAGTATAATCAAAAATTCTCTTAAAATATTCAAAATTAAAGGGAAATCCAAAGAACGCTCAAACTTCGCTCAAAATTTAGTACAAAAGAAAACGAAATTTAGTATAAAAAAGTGCCCTCATTCTCAATATTTCCTGAAATCAGAGAAAACTAAATTACGAAATGAAAATTAATCGAAAAATCTTCCAAACAACGTTCGATCTTCACTCAAAATTTAGCATAGACAAAAGGAAAAGAAATTTAGTCGAAAAGAGTACCCTCACTCTCAATATTACCTGAAACCAGAGAAAACTAAATCCCAAAATGAGAATTAATCGAAAAATCCTCCAAACAAATGCTCCAACTCGAAGAAACGTCAAAGATTCGTTCGAAACAAGAAAAAATCTCGACGATCGTAAAATGCTCGACGCGTGACATGGTCGAGGAGAACGAAAAGAGCAAAAAAAAGCGAGGAAGAAAAATGGGTGCAGAGGGCAAGTTAAGAGTGACGAAAGATCAACGGGTTAACCGGTCAATTTCCACGGTATACCCGATGACCTCTGTTCGGCATTAGGCACGCGGCCCGGCCGCCATCCGGAAAACGGCGCGTGTAACGCTGATAATTCGATTGATTACGCAGGAAACGTGGAAATACTTCACGACGGGAAATGGGGCAGCGTGTGCGACGACGAATGGGATTACTTGGAGGCCAACGTGGTTTGCAGGCAATTAGGCTTCGACGGTGCAATTAAACCAACGACGAACAGCTACTTTGGCCAGGCCAGAAGTGAGATAATATTCCCTCTCTCTTTCTCTCTTTATTCTAGTCAATATTTCCTCTCTCTGTACCCACGTGAACGCGAAATAAATAGGATCGTTTCCGTGGCCGAGGAGCAAACTGGATTACCAGCAATTATTTCGAGTCTGACGGAAAATGGCGGAGGAAGAGAGGAGAAAGGTTGTATCGGTTAAACGTAGTGTTAGGTGTACCAATATGTAACACGCTGTTACCTTGTTCTTAATTACTTGGAAATTTCGAAAATTCATTTATGTTTTCAGAGACGATTTTTTTAAAGTTGCAAAAAAATACCTAATTTTTGTATGTAATTGTAGCTTAAATTCACAGAGATTAAATTGTTTTTCTTGCTAATTACTTGGAAATTTGGAAAATCGCTTTATCTCTTCAGGGACAATTTTCTTAAATTTGGAAATTCCATTTATCTCTTCGGGGACGATTTTTTTAAAGCTGGAAAGAATTACCTAATTTTTGTATGTAACTGTAGCTTAAATTGACAGCGATTAAACTGTTTTTCTTGGAAATTTGGAAAATCGCTTTATCTCTTCAGGGACAATTTTCTTAAATTTGGAAATTCCATTTATCTCTTCGGGAACGATTCTCTTAAAGTTGGAAAAAATTACCTAATTTTTGTATGTAACTGTAGCTTAAATTGACAGCGATTAAACTGTTTTTCTTGGAAATTTGGAAAATCGCTTTATCTCTTCAGGGACAATTTTCTTAAATTTGGAAATTCCATTTATCTCTTCGGGGACGATTTTTTTAAAGCTGAAAAGAATTACCTAATTTTTGTATGTAACTGTAGCATAAATTGACAGCGATTAAACTGTTTTTCTTGGAAATTTGGAAAATCGCTTTATCTCTTCAGGGACAATTTTCTTAAATTTGGAAATTCCATTTATCTCTTCAGAGACGATTTTTTTAAAGCTGGAAAGAATTCCTAATTTTTGTATGTAACTGTAGCTTAAATTGACAGCGATTAAACTGTTTTTCTTGGAAATTTGGAAAATCCATTTACGCCTTCAGAGACAATTTTTTTAAAGTTGGAAAAAATTATCTATCCTTTTATGTAACTCTGTTTTAAATTGATAGCAGTTAAATTGTTTTTCTTGGTAGGAAATTGTGTAATGAACAATTATTCACTACAGTTTCATACTTTTTTTGTTAACCTCTTAAATGTCGATTTTTTTAAATTTAGAAAAGATGATTCAACTTTTTATGGAGTCACATTTCATTCATTTTAAATGTACAATAATTAAACTGTATTTCTTGTAATGAATATAGTTATTCGCTATATTTTCACGTGTTTTCTATCGCAAATATGGAAATTTATTTGGTTGATAAGAAAGAAAAATGAATAAATGAAAAGAAATTCTATATCTGATAGAAAATGTGCGATTATATTTATTCGACTAATTTGTTTCGCGTTTTCGTGGGAAAATTATGATCCTCCGTGGTTCCAGCGAACACGTTCGTTCTTTTTCCTTTTTAAGTTTGTAACTGGTACACGTTTATGTTTCTTTCACCGTGTTTCGAGATTCTATCGGAGGATTTAGAATAGCACTATTCAAAGGGTTAATTGGAGGGATTGGAAGTTCTTTTGTTACGCTCCTACGAGGTTTATTATGGGAGTTTTTATTAGAGAGGAAAAGAGGTGAAATGATCCGATAATCGATAGAGCCAGTCCAAAGCGAGTGCACTCGTATGTCGGACTAGATAAGGCGTATCTTCCACCTGTTCCTTTTAATCGGGGTCGAATTCAGCCCCATTCGATACCGGTAATTGCTCTCAGATGCAACAATTCTTTACTAGAATCCCTCCAATGAAATTCCGTTCGATACGAAATCGAGAATTTCAACGATCATCCTTACAAAAATATTATCCAAAATTTCGAAATCTAGAATTCGTAACAAACAGCAGAGTTACGACGATAATTATGAAAATCACCTAAGTGAAAATACTGAATTTGTCGGTTATTTTGCGTTGCATCGATTTACGTTGCAATAATTAGGAAGAATTTTCGCGATGTAAGTGGAAATTTGAGGAAGACAGTGAAAATATCGAAATATGAAAAATATCAAAGTCGTGAATACGCAAATTTTCACTTTTCGAGTGAAAAAGTGGTTCAAACGTGACTAAACTAGGATAAAAAAGATTGTTTTATAATTAAATATAATACTGGGTTGATACAGTTTCAATTTAGCATAAGAAAGTTAAATTAGAGTTGAATTAGGGTTGTCTTTAATTTTTTTATCAAAGAGAAAATTATTCTAATTAAATATAAATTTGTAACAAAGACTGATATTCGCTCTTCGTCTCGATAATCTAATTACAGTTTACATTAAGCTCTAAACTTCCCTAATTCTTCGAATTTCACTTTTACTCTATTAGCCTAAAGGTATCGACTTAGGCAATTTTCATAATCACCGCCGCAATTACCCCTACGATTCCACATTCCACGTCCCTTAATACATTTCCTCTAATCCTCGATGGAGAAGACCTTCCAACATTCACGCGAACTATTCCATATAAAAAAAAAGACATTCCCTCCCCATCAATTCAGTTTCTGACCCCTCAACTCCACTCTTCTCTCTCTCTCTCTCTTTCTTCATTTTTCTCTCTGTCTCTCCTCTGTCTATCTTTCTCCTTCTCTCCCTGTCTCTCCCCTTCTTTTTCTGTCGCTCCTTCTCTCCCTGTCTCTCCCCTTCTCTCCATTTCTCTCGTCATTTCATTCTCCCCCTTTCTCTCTCTCTCTCTCCATTTTTCTCTCTGTCTCTCCTTCTCTCCCTCTGTCTCCCCTTCTCTCTCCATTTCTTTTTCTCTCTCTCTCCATTTCTCTCTCTCCCTTTCTCCCCATTTCTCTCGCCATTTCACTCTCTCTCCCTTTCTCTCTCTCTCTCTCTCCATTTCTCCTCTCTCAGCGGAAACGGCGCTTCGTTTCGAAGCATTCATCACGCTGCAGAGCAGAAGAAGAAGAAAAAAGAGAGAGAAAAAGGGAGAGAGCAGCTTTCATCCTCGAACGGGAGTACAGTGGTTTTTCCATTCGGTTGGACCGCAAAAGGATTCACGAGAGGGAAGAAGCGAAGAGAGTGTGAAAAGGCGGGGCTGGAGGGAACTGGGGTTAAAAAGTCGGGGGGGAAAAATGTAACGTTCCAGGAAGATATTGGATGGACAACGTGTACTGCGACGGGAGCGAGGAGGAGATCTCTAAATGTCGGTTCGACGGATGGGGAGCATCTGACTGCGAGGGTAGCGAAGCAGCCGGTGCAATTTGCGCCCGTGATCAACAGGACGAGGAGGAGAGCGGGGCGATAAGACGGGCGAAGCCGAAAAGGAAGCCTGAGAAGCGGAGAATCAAGGATATCCATCAGCAGGGAGTGGCGATAAGGCTGGTCGGTGGACGTGTTCACACCGAGGGCAGGATCGAGGTGAAACTGGGAACTTCAGGTATTTAACCCTTCCACTTTTATCACGTTAACGTCGGATGACGCACATATGCGTATATTCAAATTTTCGACTTGAGTAGGGAGGGCAGACTGGGGCTAAAAGTTACAATTTTAAAATCACCGAGAAATAACGTAGTTACTTTCTTCGCTGTTAACTAATCTATTGTTAAATTTATCGCACTTTAACCCTTTGCACTCCGTACAATTTTTAACATGACCTACCAGAAACTCTGGATCATTCTTCCTATGGGCTACCAGCTACTCCGAGACCATTTACAATGGCGCGAGTGCGCCTCTGTGGAAGATACTTTGTAGGCGGTCAATTTTTTTTAAAAATATATCTTACAATGCAGCAGTGACAATGGAGCTGTTAGTTCCACTTACAATGTCGCCACGGCGGCGACAACGGAGTGCAAAGGGTTAAGATTACTTACGGATGACGCGAAAATACGTCATTTTTGACTGGAATACGGATGACGCGAAGATACGTCGTTTTCGACTGGAATACGAATGACGCGAAGATACGTCATTTTCGACTGGAATACGGATGACGCGTAACTTAAAGTTCATGCAATTCTTGTTAAGTTACTGTTGGGGAATCTAGGGAACGTGACATGTGACAGGCCAAAGAGTGGTTAACTCCATTTTTTCAATTTTAAACAATTTTTGTTTTCACTCAGATTTTTGACTTGAGTACGGATGACACGAAAATACGTTATTGAGATTATCAAAAATCTGTCTGAAAATAAATTTATAAAACGCTATAGATGGTTCAGTTTTTCCTCAGAAATGACATAACAGATGTTTCACGAATTAAAAAACAACTGTATACGATTTACGAAAAATATTAATTAGTGAAAAAGTTATAGTAGGGTTTTCCAACGTAACGCGAGCGGAAGAAAAGATGCAAAATCGAGGCGTTTGATGGAAAAAGGGTAGGCACGCTAAAATGCCATTTGAAGAAAATCGATTTCAAAGATTTCATTATACTAGTGTTTAATAGAAAGTAACGCAATCGAACGTAAAAGGGAAGTATGGCAGAAAATAAAAAAAGAAGGTGTTTAACCCTTAAAAGCTGTCGTTGAAGGAAATCACGTTGATTCTGTCGTGCATGAAATTTCACAATAGTATACTTTTTTTTATATTATAACAGATATCAAAAAAGTGAAACAAATGCAACTGAACGTTTTATCATTTTTGAACGATACAAGATGAAAAGTAGAGAAATTGCTGTTTGCAGCGGTTGCAAATAAACTTGCTGCACACCGTGCATTTAACCCCATTTTCTTATTCTCTTTTCTCGGGAGAAGCTGGTATCTAGCTGAATAGAAACGTGTATCGACGTAAAAACGCGGAAAAAATGGGGATCTCCGGCGGTTCTACGATACTTTCGCAAGAATACAAAGAGTTGTTAAAGGAAATGTAGAAACGGGTTAACAATTACACGCGAATATCTGTCAACGTATGCAAATTTATGAATTTTCTCTGCACTTTTGTTTAACCCTAGAGCGGTCTTAGAGCGGAGATATTTTTAGTCATTTTTGCAGTTATCAAGTTTACGTTCCTTGACATTATTTTAAACCTTTATTGTCTAGGTTCATATGTCGCGTTGGAAAGAAATATGATTACACGTAAGGTCTTAGGTCCTTTTCCACCCAAAAGTCTTAACACTTTACCGACCGGTAGCCTATTAATCGGCTTTTTACCGCCAACGCTTACCGACCGGTAGCCTATTAATCGCTTTTCTGCCGCCGTCGCTTACCGACCGAGGGCCTATTAATCGGTCCAAGTTTGATTTAACATTTCTACAGGTATAAGAAAAAGCGCATATATTCCCGCTCGATAGTCTACATAGAGTCTAAACAGAGTCGGTGTCAATGTATCTGTGGCCGAGTGAGCGGTCGGAAATGCATAGGATGTTCAACCGCTATCGGTCGGTAAAGTGTTAAGTGTACAGTCAAAACAAAGAACGCACTAGGGTTAACGAAGTTAGTTTCACACTTTGGCTTGAATTATGCGGTCCGGATGTTCGATCGTACAGCAGAGTAATATTGTATTTGGAAGTTGTAGTTTGAAGTACTTTTGACGAAGAGAGTTTCACACTGCTTCGTTGCGATTGAAATTTTGTTCAACTGGTAATCGTACTGTTATGCCGCGGCAAAGAGAGGAGTCTCGAAGAACGTTTCTTCGTGTGTAAAAGTAGTTTTATTAATATAATACAGGAATCACGTACAGAGGACGTTTTCACTATGACGTGTGCGGGACGAGGTGAAACCAACTACATATTGCCTAAAATGTGTGGGGACGCTGTCCTTTATCCCTCCGCTTTTCCTGGAGTTTGTACCCTTATGAGTAAGCCGTTCGAGCTTCGAACGGCCACAGGATCCTCCTGGTGCGTCAGGATAGTGACTAATTCTAAGCGGTGTCGCTATCCTAACAGTACGTCGAATTATATTCGTCGGGATTTTCAGAAGAAAACACAAAAAAACTCTATTAAATACGCAACGTTTCTTTCATTTTTACTAAATATCATCGAACATATGATTCATTCTTTAATAACCATTGCCTCCTTAATAATTCCTATCTGTCGTAAATAAATAATGAACTTAAAGTCGTTTCCATAATTCATAAACGCCATTCATCATTCACAGCCAACGAAAAAAAGGAATTGTTCCTCAATCAGTACTACTTCCACTACCCTATAGACAATATTGTCCACCAAAGAAATTCGTATCTCCACGTTATTCACAGTAAAAAAATTGTTCTCCAATAATTTCCATTTCCACCATCTATAAACAACCTTATCCACTATAAAACTTCATAAGTACCTCCACATCCTTCGCAACCAGAAAAAAAAAGACAATCGTCCTCCATTTCCCACTTCCTTCAACTTTTAGCCACAACACACCGGGAGAAAGGTGGTGAAACAGCAAGAAAATTCACATCTCCGTGATTTCGTTTCAGATTGGGGTGTTGTCTGCGGCGATGGTTGGTCCCTGTTCGAGGCAGCGGTGGTTTGCAGGCAACTGGGTCTTGGTCACGCCTCCGACGCCATCCAGACGAACTTTTTCGGCGGCTTGAAGGTACCAATGGCCATCAGCGGTGTGCAGTGTCACGGAGACGAGAACAGTCTGATCGAATGTCTACACGACAAGCTTCTTGACTGTCCAGGTAGGTGAGAGAACGAGTCGTCCGCCACTCGACCAGGTTTCGTCTGATGAGAAATGCGGCTGGATAGAGGACCAGTCGGATTCCTCGTGTCGTTGGAAAGAAAAAGGAACGTCGATTGGGGCTCTGGGAAGGAAGTTTTGCGAATAGACGGTGGATAATTTTATTAGACGGAATGAAGATATCACTTTTAAAAAAATTCTTACGCTCTTTGGAGATGATTGGTTTCAAGTTAGAAAGAAATTGTGGGCTATCGTTCATTTTTAAGAGTGTGGACTGTCTGAGAACTAAATTCTGAATGAACAATGCACCAAGAAGCAAAAAAATTAACAATGCAAAGTTGAAATAAGACAAGTAAACAAAAAATATTTCATTCGTGCTTAATAAAATAAGAAAAAAATTAGAAAAGGTTTCATTTATTCTGAGAATTTCTTCTGACGTTAAAAAATTAATAACGCAAGGTTGAAACAGGAAAAATAGAAAAATAATTCATTCGTGCTTAATAAAATAAGAAAAGATTTCATTCGTTCTGAGAATTTCTATGCTTAAATTAAAAAATTAATAATGCAAGATTTTTCATTTTCATTCATTTCTATAATTTCTACCACCGATTCTGTAATTCATAGCGAGAGAAGTGTCTTCGAATAAGTGCAATTTTTCACCCAGACGATAAGTCTCCGAAAAGAATTTCACACCGGAGTACAACCTAATTAAACGTTTATTCAGGACCAGTGGAGAACGTTGCCAGCGTGGTGTGTCTTCGAGATATGGCAGACTTAGTCTTCGATCATATAGAGCTCATGAGAACAGCACACTTAGAGGACAGACAATTGTATTGGCTACAGTGTGCTATGGAAGAGAATTGCGTCGCCTCGCAGGCTTACAAGATCCAAAAAGAAACGGAGAATTGGCACTTAGAGACCAGAAGATTGCTGCGATTCACTGCGAGGATTCTGAACGCTGGTACAGCGGACTTCCGACCCTCTGTACCGAAACACCTTTGGGAATGGCACATGTGCCATATGTGAGTGATAAATGCGCTTGATAAAATCTAACGTTTAATCGCTTTGTCGTGGAACCAAATCAAATTTATCTCGATCGACAAGTTCTGCACAAATGAAAAATAACAGAAACTGTTTAAGTTTCGTAGAATGAAATTTATTTGGCGGGAATTTTGAAATTAAATTTATTTGGCGGGAATTTTGAAATTAAATTTATTTGGCGGGAATTTTGAAATGAAATTTATTTGGCGGGAATTTTCAAACGAAATTCACTTTTCGAGAATAAGCTTGGGAAGATTTGAAGAAAAGTGTAAGAAGAAAACGGGGGGAAGAAAGTAATATCAGTCTGTGTCGTGTTTGGCAGAGGTAACTTCTTGCAACGTGGTCTCTAATTTTGATCTTCGACAGCTTAGCCAAACTGCTTGCTTGTTCCCCCTTCTTCGTAATACTCAACTTTGCTACTTTCGAAACGAAAGTTTGTCCCTGACGTCAATTCTATACCTTCTCAAATCCCCATTCAATCTTCGTACTTCTACCTTCCCTTCTTCGCGCTTGAAAACATTTCTCAAATAACAGAGACAGAGTTTAATTTCAATTATTTAGATGTTCGTTATAAGCGGAACACCCTGTAATCGAAACTCCTCTTAGCCATTTCGTTTTCTTGCTTTCTGTAGCAACGAAAATAATTTAAATGTTCAGTATAAGTGAGACACCCGGTGTATGCAAATACTCTCAATTAGGTTCCATTTTTTTTTTACTTTCAATGGCAATGGAAATAATTCAGATAATAATTAGAAATGGATCGTTCAGTATGCTAAAAAATATCAGTAACAATATGAACTCCTTTTGGCCATTTTTTTTCTTACTTTCGATAAATTAAATGTTCAACTTAAACGAGACACCCAGTATATAGCAATACCCAATAAGATTCCATTTATACCTTTACTCGACAAAATTCCATTTTTCTTTAAATTTCAATAGCAAGAAAAATAATTAAAATGCCCCTTACAAATGAGACACCCAGTATGCATCGATACTCGACAAAATTCCACTTATACCACTACTTGATAAAATTCCACTTCTATTTAATTTTAACAGCAGCAAAAATAATTAAAATGCTCCTTATAAACGAGACACCCAGTATGCATAGATGCTCCAAGAAAATTACTCGAAGAATATACTCGACAGGCAGTCGCACGGTACAAAATTACGAAATAACGTTCAGGTGAAAATTTTTTCGAGGGGAGGGGGAAAAAAAGCATAGAAAACAGTGATTCGATAGGAAAGTTAAGCACTTGGAAGCATCTCTAGTCCAAGCTAAAATCGATTCGAGGGCCTCGAGAGTGACGCCCACGAAGCTGATTCTAAGCGAGCAACCACTCGCCTTATCTGCGATCGCGAGCCCTTTCGAAACGTCGATCCAAGTGGCTCGTTCGCCGATCATTAATTCCGCATTACGCGTTGTTAACGACAGGCATTACCACTCGATGGAGGTGTTCGCCACTTTCGACGTGTTAGACCTGAACGGGACCCGTTTGGCGGAGGGGCACAAAGCGTCCTTTTGCCTCGAGGACAATCAATGCCTGCCAGGCGTGGAACCGAGGTAAACGCAATTAGCGGTGTCTCGTTAGACGAACCGTCCGCTATTTGTTTCCTGATATTACCAACGATACCGTGCACTTATGAAAATCACTTCTCCTTCTTTTTCTCTTCTTTTCAAGGAAGAAGTGTACGTTGTACAGCAAATATTAACCCTTTCGCGAGCAATAGGACGCATGTGTCTCGTTTGAGTACTCGAACAAAAATCGATCGATTATAAATGCAACGATTGATAGATAAATAGGAAATTCTTGAAAAAAGTAATTTGGTCGCGAAAGGGTTGAAGCTTCTATGAAACGCAGAGAGTAAAAGAAGAACAAAGGATGAAATAACGATGTCGATAAGAATGAATTAAAAGTAGTTTTGATCGAAGTTTGATTAATATTTCATTCTTCAAGTACCAGTGACAGTGATTTGTAATTAACGTTGCAGCGATATAACAGCACTTTACTTCGTTTCGTGTAGAATTGCAAATTTAATGAAAAACTTATTAAGGATCTCTTGAATTTTTATGTGTTTTTTTAAATAATTCTTCGGTACCTTGTAATGTACAGTTGTTTTCAAAATTGTCGAGTGACAGTGTAGGTGTATGATTTCAGGTACAAATGCGCCAATTACGGAGACCAAGGGATTTCCGTGAACTGTAGCGATATATACAAGCATAACATCGATTGCCAGTGGGTGGACATATCGGAGCTTCGACCTGGAGAGTACATTTTCAAGGTGCTTATAGAATAATTCGAATAAGTAAAATTAGTACAGAAAATTCTATCTTAACATTTTTCATCTGCACGTTAATTTCTACATATTACACACTGAGGATAATGAAAATGTGTATTCGTGATGTAATTCCATTTTCTCTCTCGTATTATCTACAGCTCGAAGCCACAGTCGAGAGTAAATTAGGTGTAATTAAGTATGGAAAGTGGCCTGAGTCGCGTATTTTTCGTTTCGAGATATTCACACATTTTTAGATATATTTTTCGCTGCCTGAAATACTGAATGATCGATGCTATGCAAAATTAGCGATAAATTCAATTCTTTCAGACACAAATCAGATCAAATCTGATTAAAGATTTTTCATTAAAAAGTGATATTTCAGATTCTTCATAAAACAAAATAAGATTTCAGACTTTTCATAAAAAGAAAGATTTCAGACTTTCAGACTTTTCATAAAAAATCAGATTTCAGACTTTTCATAAAAAGTCGGATTTCAGACTTTCAGACTTTTCATAAAAAGTCGGATTTCAGACTTTCAGACTTTTCATAAAAAGTCGGATTTCAGACTTTCAGATTTTTCATAAAAATTCGGATTTCAGATTCTGTATTTAAAAAAATCAGATTTCAGACTTCTTCCCTGAAACACTTTCACACTCACAAATAAACCGAAAATTGATCCACTCAGAATCGAAAATGATCCACTGTCTCATATTCCTCCAATTTCAATATCAAATCACACACTCGTCTCTCAAGTTTTCCTAAATAAAGCAAATTTAACAAACTCCAACTAACTTCGTAAAATAATTCACTTAGACTTCTAAGCGCCTCTCAATTATAACTTGGAAAGAACAATCCCTGTAAAACTCGACGGAACCAACGACAGAATCAATTACGTAACTAAATAAACTGAATATCAACGACGCGAACACATGGAGCGTGTTCGCGTTTTCACGCGAATCAAACAGCTTTGCATGGAGAATCTGGTCCATAAACGCGTACCGAAGAGTGTGTGTGAGAGAGAGAGAGAGAGAAGTCGGGCAATCGCGATACCATAGGAGGGAAGGAACGTTATTTGATCGAGCCGATATTTACGTTTTCAGGTCGCTGTGAATCCGGAGTTCAAAGTGGGCGAGATGTCGTTCGACAATAACGCGGCAATTTGCCGTCTCCTCTATACGGAATCGTTCGCCACGGTGCACAGTTGCATCATGGGCCGGCCTTGACACCGGCCATTACGATAATCGTCGCGTCATCATCGCGGAACAACGGAACAAACATGGCGATGATTACGATGTTACACACGTCGTAATTCTTCATTATTAAGATCATTGTAAACAATAAAGATAATTACAGTGTTGTTCGCGTGTACTGAGACATGTTGTTGAATGTGACGCAATAGCGAATAGTCGTTACAAAATTATTAACCATTCTATGTGAAATTATGAAATCTCGAGTGTAGTAACGTTCAGTGTACAGTCGGTGGAAGAAATATGGGGAGTTTGGTAAATTGCACTGTAACCAACATAGTGACTTCTTGTGAGAAAGAAAATGGGGAAAAATTGGATTTATATTTATAATCTATTACAAATTATAAATTAAATTGAACAAAAAATTGTTTGCCCACTCTTCAAGAAAAGTAACTTTCCACGTGAAATTACAGCAACACAGAGTTCACCGCAACGTTTAACCCAAATTTAACTCTAATTTTTCCGTTCGACTGTACATTCAAGGAGTTTGGGTCGAAAAAGACCCAAAAACTGCACCAGAGTTAACTAGACAATCTACTATATATTTAAATCGTCCAGTAATCACACAACGGGTGTCTCAATATTCACGAAGAACAATGCACGTCTTAATCACATCGGATCGATCTGATTGCCTTTTATTTATGTAGTCGTTTTCGAGGGAATGTGTGGTTGGAAGTGGACAGAGGGTTCTGAATTGTACGGAATGACGTTGTGGTAATGGTTGTTTGATCTGCATTCGCGAGAGGGAAATTGTGCGGAGAGTCGAGTACTTGGAACTTGAAAGTGCGCTTGTGCGTAGACTTGTAATAGCTCTGGATTAAATTGGTCGTTTCGAGGATGAATTGAGTTTTGAGGAGGTATTTGAACATTCAGAATTAATTGTACAGGCATTTTTCTTTTCAAGAAAATTCTTTTTCTTATAAAAAAAAAGTCTTACATTATCTACTATTTTTCTTGGGGCACAAATTTTTCACAATTTTGTAGAGACTTCATACTTATCCATAACCACAAAAAAAGATGAAAATTTTCTAACTACATTTAAGGATAAATATTTTAAAAAATTCTGTCATAGCAATAAAAAGTCAAAATTTCCTAAAAAGTAATAAAAAGCAAGAGTTTCATAGCTGTAATAAAAGATAAAAGTTGCACAGCTGTAACAGAATAAAAAACACCGCAGTTACACTGAAGAAAACAAAAATTCCACAACAGCGATGAAAAAATAAACGAAAAACCCCAAAAATTCCATCTTTACAGTAAAAATGAAGAATTTCAAAAAAGACCAAAACGACGTTTGACAAGAATTTCTTACAAAGTCAACGAACCACTGAATACAACGATTGAAACAAATAAAAAACAATCGATTTTACAAGAACATTACGTAAAACAGCAGAATGCAAGTGTATTCGCGAATTGGCGCCTAGATTGCGCAACCAGTCCAACAAATCGAAGTGTAAGCCAAGGCTCGACCTCCTCGTCGCTTCTGTTCTCCGTGCAGGGAGTCTCAAGTTTCGGAGTCTAGGACCGAATTTATAGATGACTGAACCTTGTATCCTCGTAGTTTGTTCTAGATTTTAAGCCACGACTACGCTAATAAACGAACAGTTCAACGAAGAATAGTCCCTCTTGTACTAATTCACTCAATGATGCCCCTTCGCAGACTCGATACTCTCTATCCTACTATATCAGAAACTCATCCTTTCTCTTCCTTCTCGAAGGAAAAAGAATCTGTCGAAAAAAATGTTTGCGACCGTAAGAAACAACTGAACTTTTTGTTAAAATTACAAATATTGAAAAATTGGCAAAGCAGAGTGCTTCGTGCGTGTAATCGAGCGTGTTGGTTTCAGTTCGTTCCGGAGAATTTGGACCGGTGAAATGGGAAAAAGAAGGTTCGGGTAAAAGTGACTCCAGGATAGCAGAAAGGTGTTGGAGCGTTTAAAGTAGGTCGTGTGGCTTTTTTTAGGCGTGGAGAACCTTGTGCAACGTCACCTTCGATTACGATTGCTCATAATCTGATAATTAGCGCCGGGCTAGACCCTGTCGTTTCACCTACTTTTTCTAGCACGGAAAACGGGACCTTGGCTGTCGATTAGGCTCGCCTGTTCGTCCGCGAATTTCACGCGGACACACACGCTGTTACCATTGTTCTCTTTTTTTTTTTTTTTTCGTGGCGAATGGAATTCGTCGTAAGGGTACATTTTGACACTTTTCTTTCATCCGTTCAAATATATATATTTTGATAGGAGAAAAAAATGTGGGAGATTTTGCAATGGAACATTTGTGGATGATGTAATATTAAGTTGTTAGTGTTACAGTGAAATAAATGGATCTTGGGGGTTTTTAGCAATTAGATAGAATTTTTTTTCTGAAATAGAATTGTGTTTCTGAAGACATGGGTATTTTGGATTTTTTCCTGCGAGGACTCTTGAGGACTTTGGACTACTTATCGGTGATAAGTATAGCGCAGTGGACTTATGTGGAGAGGAATAAGAAAAGGACGAGGTACAATACGAGAGGAAGTAGTTGAAAATGAAGGAAGACACATGGAGCATCTCTAGGAAAAGTGAAAACAAAATTTTGTGTCTTTTTTTTTTTAGAAAGGATTGACATTGATTAGTAGTCTGACAGTCTTTTTACGACAGCTGCTCTCGAGAGTGCTCTCAAATTGTGTGTCCAGTTCTCAGTCAGCACTCTCAGTACCGAGTGTACTGATAAATTTCACACTCGAGAGTAACTCTCGATAGTTTCACTCTCAAATGGACACTTACCACGAGTGTCCAACCTTTAAAATTATAAATCTATAATTGAACGATAAATTCGCATCGAAAGCGAGCAATATTTTAAATTCTATAGCGACGATATAACGGACTTACCAAAAAAGAAAAAAGAAAAATAGGAAACGTTGTGAAATGAGAAAGCGTCCATCGAAAATATTGATCTAAATTACGAAATTCGACATGAACAAAAGGAATAACTTAATAATATATATAAGTAACAAAACTTCCTTCATTCTTATCTATTTTTCACTACACACACTCGACACACAAAAAACATTACCAAAAATCCCACAGAAACGTTGAAAAAAGCTTCGCAATTTCTCGGGGCCGAATTTGCCCGCGGGGCAACGCGTTGCCCTCACGGGCAAATTCGGGCCCCGCGGGCAGCGCGTTGGTCACACCTGTTTTATACCCTATTTCTCCCCATCACCCTGTATAAAAGGACGTCGACACAGGTCTAAGGAACTGGGTTACCCCTCTCTGATCCGTTGTCGCTTTCGATCATCGACGAAGGGAGTCGTCTCTCCTCGCGAAGAAACAGGAGACCCCGGCTGTCAATTAGACCATACGTGTGCCGCTTAAATGGCTGCAGACCTCAACGTGACTGAACGTGTAATACGTTTAGAAGGGGGAGGGCCCGTAGTATGGCTTCCGTGGTGGTCACTGTCGTGTACGGTGCACGACGCCAGCTGCTCCCCGATGCGAGCACACCGGTCATGAAAGTTTCATAGCGCCGAAAAACTGCCAGTGCAACGCTACGTTCCACCTGGAAACTTTCTTCTGTCGCGTGTTGCTACCGTTTTGTGAAAGACTCGCGAGGACAACGGAGGAAGTTCGTAAGCTTTGAGAGATTCTATTTCGGTGTTTCGACGAGTGAACGATGAGGAGAGACACTTCGGAGTTGTGGAAGCTCGGTGAACCTGTGTTTTCAGGTGAATTTTTGGGGAGCAGCTGTGTTGAGTGCGGCTGAAGTGAGAAAATGTGGGAGATGTTGTGAGTGAAGGACTGGAAAGAAGAATGTTTGGAGTGTATTTCGTTCTGATTTTGTTGGTGAAGAGACTGAGTCACCGATGAAAAAGAAATTTTGAATGAATATTGGGGAAGACGCTAATTGTAAGTCGTTGATGGAGAAGAAATTTTGTGTGGATTGGAAGACAGTGGAAGAAGTACAAATGTTTTGGGGTGAATTTTGAGGAGTACATAGCTGTGACGAGTATAGTTGAACTCGGAGAAGCAAGGGAAATGTAGAAAATATTAATGTCCAAAGATTAGCGTGTTGTTCTAATTCTAGTCACCGATGAAGTATAAATTTTGAGAAGAAAGGGTACGAATAGGACGTGTTACTTTAATTCTAGTCGTCGATAGGTTTCTATGTATTGGAAAGATAACGAAGAGAATTGAAAAGTTCATAACTAGACCAAAAAGTATCTGTGATAGACTTCTGATAAGAGAAGCAATCGATAAGTTATTATCTTGATCTACTGCACAGTAAATTCAGCTTGCAAAAAGGGTAGAATTGAAAAATCTACGATTAAATCAAACTATGTACAGGGAGTATGTAGATAGAAGAGTACCTGTGACACAGAGGTTTTAACAAAAGATAATAATTTCAGATCAATTCTAAAGACCGAAAGAACAAAAGAGCAGCCGCTGGTGACAGAATCCTGATAACAGTTCCGATCAATGCTATTCTATTCTAATCCTAGTCACCGATTCATCTGCAAACTTCGGTAAATAAAAAAGGGTGAAAGTAATTCTGCGAACGATTCAGCTTCCAAATATGAAAAATATAGGGATATAATATAAATGCTGGAATACTGAGTAAATTTTAAGTGTTGACTAATTCAGAAGTATTGAATAAATTTTAAATAGTGACCAATTCAGAAATACTGAATAATTTTGAAAAACTGACCAATTTAGAAGTATTGAATAAATTGGAAATATTGACCAATTCAGAAATACTGAATAAATTGGAAATATTGACCAATTCAGAAATACTGAATAAATTGGAAATATTGACCAATTCAGAAATACTGAATAAATTGGAAATATTGATCAATTCAGAAATACTGAATAAATTTGAAATATTGACCAATTCAGAAATACTGAATAAATTGGAAATATTGACCAATTCAGAAATACTGAATAAATTGGAAATACTGACCAATTCAGAAATACTGAATAAATTGGAAATATTGATCAATTCAGAAATACTGAATAAATTGGAAATACTGATCAATTCAGAAATACTGAATAAATTTGAAATATTGACCAATTCAGAAATACTGAATAAATTTGAAATATTGACCAATTTAGAAATACTGAATAAATTTGAAATATTGACCAATTCAGAAATACTGAATAAATTGGAAATATTGACCAATTCAGAAATACTGAATAAATTTGAAATATTGACCAATTCAGAAATACTGAAAAAATTGGAAATACCAATTAACTCAGAAGTACTGAAAAAATCTGAAAGTACTGATTAACTCAGAAATACTAAAAAAATTGGAAATACCGATTAACTCAGAAGTACTGAAAAAATCTGAAAGTACTGTCCAACTCGGAAATACTGATTAAATTTGAAAGTCCTGTCTAATTCAGAAGTACTGAATAAATTTGAAATACCGAGTAACTAAAAAATACTGAATAAATTTCAAATACTGACCATCTCAGAAACGCCAAATTAATTTCAAACTCCAACAAACAGAAAAATTTCAAATTTCCCCAAAAATCCCCCAAAAAGGAGAAACCCAAACGAAACATCTGAAACAACCCAACCTAAACAAACTTCCAATCGGCAATGCTACACGAGCCCAACAAGTGCAGCAAGAAACGTGTTCAGCCTATCGTAATCCACCTCGAGGCCATCAGGCTAAAACAGAAGAAGTAGAAACGCTAAACGAAGTATCAAAGAATCAGGCTTACGTTGTTCCTATAGCGGATCGAGCCGTTAACCTGAAATGCTGACCACGATAATCGTAAAGAGACGGTCGGAGAGCGTGTTCCATGGCCACTGTTATCCGAATAGTGGCTCTTATCACGCGATTTGATAGATCCGATCACGGTCGAGGCTCGTCGCGTTAAGTAACAACCGCCTCTGCGTGCCTCGTCGCCATTTTACATGGTCATCCTCTTGCAAAGCCCTCTCGTCCACGAACAACTCTCGCGAGACATCGGGAAACGAAATTATGAGAGCAACACGAGACAATTTCTCTTCCTTTTTCCTTTCTTCGTTTTCATCGATCTAATCGACAATGTCGTTCGTTGAATCGAGTGAGAAAGACTTTCTACCTTGTCCTCTCTATGGGATATCGATTAAACAGGTTGGAATTATGGGAACGTGGATTATTTACCATCTTCCTCTAGCAAATGACAGTTTGTTCCAGTGAAAAAGAATTTCTTTTTTCTTTAATTTTTCATTTTTGATCGGTTCGGAGATCGAAGATGATCGTGTTTAAGGTTGCAGTTGTTCTCTGGGTGATTTTGAGGGTGGCTTTTGGGGCAGAGGAGCAGAGTGTTTGTACGAAGAATAGGAGTTTGTTTGAAGTTCCTGGTGAAGCTGTTTTAACTGGTGAGGATAATTTTGTTTCGATCTGGTAATCGGGGAGTGTTGGTTTTTTTGTGGTTTAATTGTTTTCGGGGGTTGTTTAGTGTTCTTGGATATTAATCATGGTCCTTATTGCAACGCTACGTCGAGTAGCGGGATGCAGGAGGTTTTTACTGCGTCCTACGTGGTGCACGCTTTGAACAAGTATGAGTTTGTTCCTGGACTTCCATTAGGTGAGTGAAAAAATTGCTTGAAGTTTGAAATAAATCAAAATTGACCTTACAATTTTTCTTTCGCGTATCATATTTTAGACTGATTAATTCGAAGATGAGAATTAACACTTTGCACTTCACTGGCGCCATAATTAATAAAAGAAACGAAGATAGATGGGTT